CTGGCCAGTGCGCGGGGACCCGGCGGGGAGCGCGGCCGCGCAGCAACCCCCGCCCGCGGGGAGCCGCGCCTGGCGAGGCCGCTGGCGGGAGCCGTCTCCCCGGTAACCGGGAGGAATGTTAATGAGTTTGAATGTTTGACCTCGCTCGGCGGTGCATCCGAGCGTGAGGGCAGCGGGGAGCGGGGCCGGCACCCCTGAAGGGAGCGGGGACCCCTGAGGGGAGAGGGGCCAGTGGGATCTCCTGAGGGGAGCGGGCACCTCTGAGGAGAGAGGGGCCAGTGGGATCCCCTGAGGGGAGCAGGCACCTCTGAGGGGAGCGGGGACCCCTGAGGGGAGAGGGGCCAGCGGGATCCCCTGAGGGTAGCAGGCACCTCTGAGGGTAGTGGGGCCAGTGGGTATCCCTGAGGGGAGTGGGGACCCCAGAGGGGAGCGGGGACCCCCCATTGCCGCAGTCTGAGGGAGCTGGGCCCTGCCGCTGTGTGAGGGGTCGTGGGTCGCACCCAGCCCAGTGGGGAGCACTGCAGGCTGAGGGGGACACGGCGGGGGAGCCCACCAGGGAACTGCCCTGGTGCCGCGAAGGAGGCGAGGCAGATGGTATTTTTAGCCATTTCTGAGGTAAATGGTTATTGAGCTTACGAGCGTTTAGTTTCAGAGCCACATAGATCTTTCGTACATCTCATTGCTGTAAGCAGATTGCTTCTCTCACCAGTTAGCAAGATAAACCAGGGTGAGAGAGCTGTCACTGCTTGCAGGGTTCCCGCTGTCTTGTCCCAATTTTCTGTCTGAAGGGGCTTTCCTTTCTACTTGCAGAGATCCTCGTTGCAAGCACAGTTGACTTCCTACCTGCTTAGGCCTTCAGCCGCCCTCTCAGCAGCCGAGCCCTACCCGTGCTGTGGTCTTGCTGTAGTAACTGCCACCCTTCAGGTACCTTTGGCGTTTGTATCTCCCTGCTTCTCGTCTTTTTTTTCTTTTTTTGAAAGCTTTACCATTTGTATTTAGTTGCTACTCTATCTTCAAAAGTCAGTTCTTTTATCATTAATAACTATATGTAATCATAAATATGCACTGTAGTGCATAAACTTTTAGTTGGAGCCCTCTGGGGAACAGAAGGTTGCTTTGAACAGTCATGTTCTCCCTTTATGTCTATGGTTTTACGCGCTGACTGCTGTCTGGTCAAACGATACCACTAAACCAAGCAACTAATCAAAGTCCAAAGTGCATTAAAAATCAATAAAATTGCCCTGGCAGGACCCACGCCCGAGGGGCGGCGGTGGCTGGTCAGGCCCTGCAGAACCAGAGTCAGCAGAACCTTCGTGCCGTCCTGGGCAGGGGCTACCGGGGAGCCACCCAACCAGAGGGGCTCCCGTAGCAGTTTTTAAGTCACCTAACCAGAAAAATAAAAAAAACTCCAAACCATTAGATTATTAAAAGATTGTACAACACCAAATTGCTAGTTACTGGAAACCTTCAATTACAGAGGTACAGAGTGGATGACATAAAGATTAGGGCAACGATTGGCAGCCAGAGTGGTGCAGAATGTTTTTTTTCTATGCAGTATAAAGAAAAGGGGAAAAAAACCTTGAGATTTGGCAAGCAAGAAAGAAGAGTAAACAGAAGAGAGGATGTAAAACTAACGGGAAACACTAGTAACAAACAAGATTAGTTAGGGATGTAATGAAAGCTCAACTTGAGGAGAACTACTTATGTTTTTATGGTTATGGACCAATGCTGACAAAATATACTCAACTGGAAGAAATAGCATTTTCCGTGCAACAGAGTAGCAGAAAACTGCACTGTTTCACTACTTGCCATTAATAGGATAGTTGTGTTTAGATCTGTACAAACACAGAACAGAATGAAGGACCAGACATTGTGGACTTACTTAGAGTTACAGACCCTGCGTTCCCAACACACAGGAGCTGGGAATTTCCTGGCTGAGAAAGCCAAAATAACTCTTCCTGACACAGGGACCAGCCAGAAAAGCCGAGAACAGTACCTGAGTGCGGTGCTCGAGCTGTTGGTTTCGGTCTCATACTACAAGAGGAGCCATAATTTAACTCCAGCTTTGCCACACAGGCAGGTTTCATCCCTGGTAGCCGAAATTGCCCAGCTGTCAGGACACTGCGTTGGTTCTGGACAGGAGTGGTGGGTGCACCTATGAGTTACCGAATTTTACTGGCTCTGCTTTCCCAAAGCCACTCCCCAGTTCCTTCATGCTGTGTCAACCATTGTCTGACCCCACACCCCGCACTCCAGGTAAGGCTAACACAGTCCAACCAGAGCTGATGATACACTAGCTGGATTTCTGCATTTTCCAGCCAAAATACCATTTGTTGGCATGTATTCTTAGCTTAGCATTCACCCAGAAAATGTTTATTTTATGGCTCATAAAGGACTATGCCAGCTACTTAGGATTTTTTTTGTAGAAAACATCTTGATTGGTCCCCCGTTAAAAAAAAAATATCTCAGCCAATGTTTGTGTTTCTGCCCCTGGTGTTTTCATCAGAGAAATTTGATCAATTATATGGGCCAACGATCCTATTTTTTTCAAACCAAGTACACATGAGATAATACACCATTTCTTGTGAGACCCTCCCTGCAGTGCTGCATTGAGCTCTGGGGCCCCCAACAGCAGGACATGGACCTGGTGGAGCGAGTCCAGAGGAGGCCACGAAGGTGGTCTGAGGGCTGCGAGGACAGGCTGAGAGAGTTGTGGGGGGTTCAGCCTGGAGGAGAGAAGGCTCCGGGGAGACCTTAGAACCCTTTCCAGTCCCTAAAAGGGGCTGCAGGAGAGATGGAGAGGGACTCTTGATCAGGGAGGGGAGCTGTAAGATGAGGGAGAAGGGTTTCAAACTGAAAGAGGGGAGATCGGATCTCAGGAGGATGGAAGTTCCTCGTGAGGAGGAAGTTCTTTACTGTGAGAGTGGTAGAGCACTGGAACAAACCGCCCAGGGAGGTGGTGGAGTCTCCTCTGGAGACATTCAAAACCCACCTGGACAAGTTCTTGTGCAACCTGCTCTGGGTGGACCCGCTTTGGTGGAGGGGTTGGACTAGATGATCTCCAGAGGTCCCTTCCAACCTCATTGTGAGAAACACCGACTCACATCTTAGAATTTAAAGAGGACAAAGTCACCGAAGCAAAAGTTTAAAAATTTATTAATACGAAACAGCGCTGAATCGGGTGCACCAAAAATAGATGCACGCGCACTTTTTCAATTTTTGTATATTTATACCTTATCCCGGCCGCTTAAACTTCTGTCTCTCCTTCTCATTGGCTGAGAAGTTGGAGCTCACATTCTTCCCGACCGCCTAACCTATCGCAGGTTTAGCCTATATCTTTTTCTACCGAATAAGGCATATACACACCTATTCTATGAAATTTTATCTTGAACATATCATTCTCTTAATCAGGTGGTCGCATCCTCGTCTTCATCAGCTGCCCCCCCCTTTTTCCCTGTGAGCGGGCCTACTTGGCAGCCTTACTGTCCAGCCTTTACTGTCTGTTACTGGCAGATTCACTGTCCAAGCCTTGTTCTTTTAGTCTTATTGATACTTTTCTATCTTCTTGGTCCCAACTTGAAAACACAACTTGCACCTCAAAAAGCCTTCACGCTTTTAAGTGGGTGACCACGATCACGGCCGCCCCGTCCATCCCATCCCCGGATCCCCCATCCGCGGGAATGGGGATTAGTTAGATACAATTTGTTAATTTTTATTACTACTACTAAAGCTTCTGTACTATCACACTAACAATGATACATCAATTAGCTGAAGCAAAACTTAGCTCGTTTCCCACATCATGATTCTATGACGTTCTCCACCTTGAGGGTGGTGAGAGCCTGGCCCAGGTTTCCCAGAGCAGCTGTGGCTGCCCCATCCCTGGAGGGGTTCAAGGGCAGGTTGGAGGGGGCTTGGAGCAACCTGGTGGGAGGTGTCTGTCTCTGGGTGGGACTGGATGATCATTAAGGTCCCTTCCAACTCTGACCATCCCGTGATTTTCCAAGTTCTTTTTTTTTTTTTTTTCACCCTTCAACCCCGGGGTTACACCTCCCGTGAACCCGCTTCGAAACGGTGTTGTCCCCCCCGGGGGTCTCCGGTTGCCGCCCGGGGAGGGCGGGGGTGGCCCGCTGCCCCTCAGAGGGTCAAACCGTGTCTCTGGGTGGGACTGGATGATCATTAAGGTCCCTTCCAACTCTGACCATTCTATGATTCTAAGTCCCCTGTAGATAAGGAATTAGAAATTTCTTCCTGGAAAGATGATGCTTTGGGGGGGGGGGTGGGCAGCAAAACCGCGCGAGGGCTGTCACGTGACCGCGCGGGCTTGACCTACTTTGGGCCAATGGCGGGGCGCCGCCGGCCCGCGCGCTCCTCCGTGCAGCCCCCCCTCCCCCCCCGGTGCGGGATCCGCCATGACAACCCGCCCCTGGGCCCCCCTCTTCACCCTTCAACCCCGGGGTTACACCTCCCGTGAACCCGCTTCGAAACGGTGTTGTCCCCCCCGGGGGTCTCCGGTTGCCGCCCGGGGAGGGCGGGGGTGGCCCGCTGCCCCTCAGAGGGTCAAACCGAAGATCACAACGGTTTGGGTTGGGAGGAACCTCGAAGATCATCTAGGGCCACCTCCCACCAGACCAGGTCACCCAAAGACCCTTCCGACCTGGCCTTGAACCCCTCCAGGGATGGGGCAGCCACAGCTTCTCTGGGCAACCCGAGCCAGGGTCTCACCACCCGCAGGGTGGAGAATGTCCTCCTGAGATTTGATCTAA